AAATTCAATTTTTCCATCTCGAGCAGCAGCGCGTTTGCGGTGCGCGTAGTCCTTCGTTGCGTTCGCCTGTCTGCTAAGCTCAAAACAACCGCGCCTGGCTTGACGGAGAAACCAGGAGAACAGCTGTGCATATTTACGACAGTGCACTTTTACTTTCGCCCTCTGGGGGGAGCCTCGATGGAAAATCAACACCGGTTGCATAGTGTACCTTTAAGAGGAATTTTTCGCCCATTACATCTGCAAAGAGATAGCCTGGGTGCCATTCCGATCAATGCTCATCTTCTTATTCTAGGCGTGCAACTGCATGCTATGATTTTTGTTGACAACAACTATGCGTCGCTTAACATACGTCACGCACTCCATAGCTCTTATTGGTTGTAGGTCTATCCAATTGAGTGCAGAGGCACTTTTTTTCCTGGTTCGTTCGAAACACGCCCCATAATCACAGCTCTATGGAGCAGTATCAGACTCATATTCTGACTAGAATTGAGTAGGACTACGTCAGGCTAGCAAAGAGACGTCCTAGTCCAAAATTGCTTAGGGGGCCCCTAACTGCTGTCTCTGCTTACAGATAGTTACACCATTAACCATTGTGTCACCTCATCTTTCCAGCCAACACATACATACAAAACCGTTTTTTTTATATAAATAGAAAATGTATATCTTTCTCCATTTTATTTATAGACAAAACTAAAATATTGTGTATCCTGTTTTAAGGCAGCTTTAAAGTAAAATATATAATAAACCCACTGACTTTAATATGTAAGTTACACTGACCAATTCCCGATAATAAAATACTTTTTGTAAATGCCATTTATTTCTCATTCATAAACTTGCTTAATTTGATACTTGAAAAATTATTTATATTTCAATTTTGAAATACATGACAAATAAAAACAAATTATTTCATCTTCTGAATTGCTACACCTTTTGCCCTCCTTATTAAATACTTTATGTAGATACATTGAAGAATTAAGCTTAACTAGGGAAAGAATAATGAAAATGTGATCTAAGGATTTACCTGCACATCAGAGAAGATGACTACCGGCAGAACCACGATGAAGGACACGATCCACACCGCAGCGCTCACCACCTTGGCCACCCGAGGGTGTCTCCATTTGGTGCTACGGATCGGATGGACCACGGCCAGGTAACGATCCATGGACATGACCGTTAGGCAGAATATGGATGTGAACTGATTCATGGAGTCTGCGGTCATTACTACACGACAGAGGAAGGAGCCAAAGGGCCAGTAGGAGAGCACATTTTGAGTGGTGAGGAAAGGCAGCCCGACGATGTAAAGCTCATCGGCCACTGCCAAGTTCAGGATGTAGATGTTGGTGACAGTCTTCATCTTGGCGTAGCGCAGCACTACGTAAATGGCCAGCGTGTTCCCGGTAAGACCCACTATGAAGACAGTAAGTGAGATAATAGCAGTCAGCACAGTGCTGCTGCCCTGAAAGGGAACACTCTGCGTAGACATGTTAGAGGAGATGTTGAGAACGCGAGGGAACGAAAAGAAGGAGGATGAGCCAGTTGCTCCAGATGAGTTGGGTTCTGGAGGGAGTGGAAACCAGTGCGCGTCCAGATGGTCCATAGTTACAGCCTGCATGCGGAGGTGATCCCTTGATTAAACAAACAAAAAAAAATCCCATAAATAAAAAAAAAAAAATCAAATGTATTGTTTATATTTAAGAACAAAACAACACGCCCGAAAAAATTATAACACAAAACATGCTGAAAAAGTGAAGTGTTGCTTTTTTTTGAGTAAAGTCAATAAAAAGAGGTTGAGTCTGTAAAAGTCTGTTCTCACTCAGATTAAGTTTAAATGAGAATTAAACGTCACATATATGTTTTATGCATTTGGAAAAGCTTTAATAAAGCTAGTTTGGAAATGCATTTGGTTTCAAATCTGGTTTGAGCAGCGAGCCGAACTGCGGCGCGCATCGGGCGACGTCAATATTTTTACGCACGACACATCTGCTTGTTTGTTTGTTTTAATAACACATATAAATCCTGTAAGAGGAGCTTTTCAGTATAAATATGACACCTTTATTAAAGTTATTCCGTTTCTGTGATATCAGGAGGCTTTATAGGCTACGTCTTAAGAATTAAGAAGATGCATTTATTGCGCACAAATATATAAACAAATAAGATTTGACTTACTTTGGAAATAGGGAAATTAAATCCAAATTTACCCATACATACGAAGAAAAAATACATATCCGAGCAAACAGATCTCTATCATCAATATATTGTCAGGATTTTTCCACGGCTTGTCTGGTACAGGTGCAGGCTCCTTTCCGTGGAGCTGAGCTGCGGCTCCACAGCTTCTCCTTTAACTTTCTGCTCACAGCTTTTCTCATGGTGATAATATTTAAACAGAGAGAGAGAGAGAGAGAGAGAGAGAGAATGAGGGATGTTTAGAGGGGTCTATGTTGAAACAATGAAGTTTTATTTTCTCCCTTCTGGTTTAATAAGATGTAGTTTTGTTTTTGTTTTGTTTCTGTAGCAAAACACAAAGTGTTATAATGCTTAATTTTTTGCCTTTCCTGACAGCAGTGGGATCCTCATACAGTATCCCTTATTATTTTTTTATTTGTCAGATTATAAATGAAAACCTTTATGTCATGTCATTTCATGCAATGTTAGTGTCTCTCGGATTTTGCTCTTTGCTGATTATCCTGTTTCAGAGAGGATACTTGCACTAAACGTAAATTACTTAATCACCACAACCAGAATCATCACCACAAACTTAGAGGTCACAACAGCCTTGACCCAGGACACATGAAATGTAGGGTGTATTTTCATAGCTGGAGCTGGAGGCAGATGGCCACAGGGCTCACCACCTTACTGATGAAAAACGGCCTGATAAAAGAAGTGCCAGCTTCTTACCATCTATTGTAAGGGACTGGTCTTTTGTAGATAGCCATACTCTCTGGCCGTCCCGGTATAGGACATGGCCACTGGAAGTGGTATCCCTCTCGCAGTAGCAGACTAATATATTTACATAGTCAAATGGAAGAAACAAAGAGAAAATATGGCACTAGTAAAGATATACCACTAGTAAAGGAAAACACTAGTACTGCCACCATGACAACAGAGAGCAGCAGGACTGAGGATATTGTCCGCCCGCCTCTGTTAGCAGTTAAACCGGCAGGCCCAGCCCCAGCACCCGCAACCCAAGCTAGCATAACTGGATTAGACAAGCGGGGGAGTGCTGGCATAGTGGTCAGAGCAGTGTGCTTGTGCTCTGAGAATGTTGCAAGTACCTGGTGGATCCCCACAGCCTCCACTCTGGGTTTCTGAGCAAAACCCTTTACCCCACACTGCTCCCCGGGTGCCACACAATGGCAGCCCACTGCTTCTTAAGGGAATGGGTTAAATGCAGAGATATATGTCTCCAGTATGAGATCAAAAAAGTTCAACTATTATTATTTCTTAGCTCTTGTCTCATGTACTGTAGACGGGCTGGTCATATCACAGGTTATTTTCATTACAATACGGACAGTCAGCAAGGTAGAGTGAATACACAAACTTGAAGAGGGGAGGGTAGCTTGCAGGAAAAATGGAATTCTCCGGGACTTCTAGTGTTAATTAGAAGCTGGAACAGATGCCACCTGGACTCTATGAAGGAGGTGTGAAACTAAACTAAACTAAAATAACACCTCTGTTGGATAATCTCTCCCACCCCACGCATGAAGTTGTTGCTGAACTCTAGAGCTACTTCAGTGACAGACTGCTGAACCCTAAATGCACCAGGGGGCATTATCACAGATCCTTCCTCCCAGCATCTGTAAGATTTTATAACCATCACGGTTCCCATCAACCTCTATAAGTTGTTACATTCATGCTGATTTGTGCATAGTTTCAGTCTTAGTTATATTTATGAAAACACTGTACAAAACAATGTTTTATTTGTCTATTTTTTACTTATTTTCAAGGTCCATATTTGTGTGACCACTTTTGCTGTAATGCTTTAAGCCTGCACCACAAATCAAAGCCCTGCCTTTGTTTTCATCTCAATTGATATTCATTGTTTTGGTATTATTTCTTTATAAGTTCTCCCATAAAAAAAAAAAAAAAAAAAAAGAGTAGTCTCAAATTAGTAGACTGTGCTCTCTGGGGGTAGTGGTACGAACTGCAAATTTTAATAATGTACCCAATATTATTTACTCAACATTAAAATGGAAAAGACTGAACACAGTTTGAATGCAGGGAAGGGATTTTTTCCACCCTGTATTTCATTATCTCAAACCTACAGCTTTCAGAATATAAAAGACCCTGCAAGTAGGCATATTTTTTCATCTCAGTTTTATTCAACTGAAGTATTAATGTATGGGTAAAAGAAACTGAAATACGATAAGTTGACGTGATATTTGAAGGGCATTTGTATCGCTGAGCCCATGTATAGAGGAAAAAAAAAACAAATAAAAAAAAGAATAAAAAGGGTTCGGTCCGACGAGCCGTCCATCCATCCATCCATCCATCCATCCATCCATCCATCCATCCATCCATCCATCCATCCATCCATCCATCCATCCATCCATCCATCCCCCGCTTATTCGTCAGGTTGTCAGTCTGTTGCAGGAAAGGGAAACCATTTTCCTTTTTAATTCTTTTGAATCTGTTCTTTCAATATTTTGTCGACAGTAAAATTATATAATAAACGAATGATCTTTGTGCTTGATAATATGCCATACAAATAATTATGTGTTAAGTAATATTTTCATAAACATTGTTGATAATAATAATTACACTGGTTTTGCACTCATTAAAATTAGCTGATGCAGAATTAAATTTACCAAATGCATAAAACTAGAGAGAACAGAGGGTCATGAAATAAATTCGACTCATGGTTCTGCAAGAAAACAAGCCTATTACATTACTGGGATTTTCTCCTTATTTAGCTGGAAACCCCTGTATCAACAACGGCAGCGATTAAATAATTCCTTGGAGAGTTATTAAGCTAGCATTATTCTGTTTACATTAAAAATGACAGAAAAAGAAAGGAGAAAACAGGTGGAAAATCTAAGAAAAAGAAACAAAATGCCAAAGGGATCTCCTAATAGTCAAAGAAAAGAAGTTAATATACATAAGTGTTTGTGACATCGGCGATAACTTTGCATGTTTGACTTTTGAGGCGGCTGGACCAACAGACATGCTAATTAATATTGCTAGAGCAATGTCCTGAATAATCATTAAAAAAATAGAAAAATAAATGCTAATACCTCTGTAAGTGTCAGTGAAATGTTTTATTTCTTGGCAAAAGGTATGTTTATTTTTAATAGTTAAGATAATGTATTTTATGTTGTTTGGTTCACGTTTTGCAAATGTGTAAAATGATTGCATTATTTTTTGTGTTGAGTTATTTCTTGTTGAAAGTTATCGCGAGATTTGCATTTACGTGAAAGGCGACGTGTCTTGAATAAACTTAGAAGGCGCAGAAGCTTGGAACAGAGCTATGTGGAGCAGCCTTGTGTTTACTGTAGCTGTCAAGGTATTTGTAGTTATGTTTGTAATATTTTGCAATGTTATTGGTTATTGTGTTTTAATTACTTAATATTTTAATTTAGAGTGGACGAGGAAGAATTAAACTGTTAAAGACCTCCGAAGTGGCAGGCGGTAACGAGGTAACTTCTGTTAAAGCACGTGTCACCTGATTGTCTGTAAATGTATCGGTATCTAAAACTTTGTCTTCTATTTCTGTAGTTTTCACGGCGTTAATAAAGAGCCCGTCTAAAGGAAGCCGTGCCAGTGTTGTCACTTTGGAGTTACAGTGAAAACTCACCCAGCCAGCGCCGGTAAGAAGCTCGTTAAGACGACGGCAGCTGCAGTGAGCGACGGTACCGTGATGTAACACAAGAGGGCGCCATTTGTCAAGCTCACCGTTTATAAGAAACCAGCAGCAACAACCTTGTACAGCTGAAGTAGGATGGTAATTAAGGAAAATGTTAAAAGTAGAATAAGAGTGGATTCATTGAAATTTAAAACCACAATAAGTTTCTACAACACATTTGTCAAAAGGTTACTTATTCTCTACTGAACTTCAAGTTATGAGTTGCTGTTCAGGAAAAGGTGTGTTTTTATCTTGAGGTCAAACTGAATGCTGCAAGTTAAAGTTCTTTAAGTTAAAATACATCTGTATTAAGAGTGAAGATCATTACAGCTACAATATAAAGTATTATTCACGTTTATATATTAGTTGGAAATTTGAAACAGTATTTGGCAATTTAAATTGAGCCTTTAGTGACACTTAACCAGACTTATAAGATGACTGACAAAGATAATAAAGAGCTCTATGCTGTATCATGCACTGAAGTGGAGAAAATTGATACTGAGCAGATCTCAGAACCACAGACTGTTCGAAAAAGTGAAAGAGTTAGAACGCTAACCGAAAAGGGTAAAGAGCTTCAGGAGGAGAAACTTAAAATGCTTCAACACAGATATGCAGTCGCCTTTGAAAAGTGGAGATATGCAGCAAGACTTAGCAAAGTAATACTAAGAAAAGAAGCTTCAGACAGTGAGTTAATGGAGCTGATTAATAATGTAAACATCACCTGCAGAGATACGCAAACCATTTATGAAGAAATACGACAAATACAAACTCCTGGTGCTGACACAAGGCGCAAAGTAGATGCATGTACATCATTTTCTGAATTCATTATCAGAAGAGCTGAGAAACAACTGCAAGGAGATGTTGCAGAAGGCGACGAGGAGCCGTGGCCAGATTTTGGGTCATGCTTGGGATCTGAAAGTACGACATCAAGGTCAAAATCTAGAAGGTCTAAAAGTAGTTCAGGGAGTTCACAAACGACCAAAAGATTGGAAGCAGAGGCTGAAGCAGCTGCATCTCAACAAATATTAGCAGTTATGGAAGAGCAAGAAAAGGAAACAATTGAGTTACAAAAACTGGAACGTGAGAATTTGGAAAGGCAGCAAGCAATGGAAGAGCAGCGAAGAAAGATTAAACGCTTGGAAGAAATAAAAAAATTGAATGCTGCAAAAGCACGTGTAAAGGTTTATGATGAGGTTGAAAGTACTTCTGCAAGCCAGAGTTCATCACAGAGCGTTAAAACATAAAGTGAAATCCAAGCAATCCCTTTCACAGCACATGATTCTTCTCTTGCTCTAAATGTTACCCATTTCCATGATGCTGCAATCGTTGGATCCGTACCACATACTCCCACTGTAATAAACCAAACTCAACAAAGTCTTGCTGAACAACCTGAGGCAAATATGAGCCAAAAACTTAAAGCATCAAGTCCACCATTCATCCCTCAAGCCACACGGGT